GGATTTAGTTTTGAGTGTTTAGGGGGTTTTAGGTGTCAAAACATTTTTTAGGATTTAGAATTTTAAGATTTAGAATTTTAAGATATAGGCTTTATAAATCTATAATTAGTGGCATTTTTGCAAATGTGCACACAAAAAGTGACATTTTTGTAATTATCCCAAAAATAATATGTATTTTTAACGTGAATTATTTTTTTTCTTGTATTTAAAAAGAAAATAGTATTAAACTAGTATTAAAGAAGATTATTCCAACTAGCATATCTGATTCGCTGAAATAAGTAGCTAAAAAATAATGTGTAGTATATTTTTTTTTCAGGTGTTTCCAGCATGTATTTTTTTAAAAAAATTAGTATGGAACTAGTATGGATAAGAGGATAACAAAATGCTAATTTTGAATATTTTAAAACTATTTGAATCGATGGTTAACATTTTCTAACACGATATGTATTTTAGTGTAACTAATAGAACTACATATTTGATTTGGTCTGGGTCTTTTTTTATCCTTTGTCAACTTGGTCTGGGTCTTTTTTTTTCTTCTTTTAATCTAAAAAAGATCGTGTATGGTAGTATATAGTATATACATTTTCCTTTTCAAAATTCCATTTGGGGAAAGGTAGTCCACGTTACAGTTTATAAAATGTAAGAGTAATGAGGAATGAGCAAACTCTAATTACGCTTATATATTGTGTTCACTAATAGATTGTCATTTTAATAGTATTGGATGTCATCCCTTATATATTAATTGGAGAGTGATTTGTTTATGTGTCTTCACCAAAATCACTCTTCTAATTTAATTATGACATTGCATTGTCAAAAATGTGACATGTCATTCTAACCCATTAAACTCTAACTAAATTAGTACAAACTCATTAAAAAAATCGGTCAATCCCTTATTAGCCTAATTATCCAACACAATTAAACCTAACATTCACTATATATAAGGGACCACAACCATAATTTTTATGATATCAATTCAATTAGCCCAAACTCATTAAGAAAATCGGCGAACATCAATTATTAGCCCAATTACCCAACACAATTAAACCTAATCTTCATTATATATAAGAGATCACAGCCAAAAAAATTTCAAGTTTATAACAACAAACAATTATTTTTTTGAATTTTTTTTAACGCAAGACAATTTGAAAGTAGTAAGAATATTTTTTTAGTTCGAGCGACAATTTTTTTAATTTATGTTTTATTTATAAAATTTATGATTATATATTTTAATGTTCTAAAATATTAAATAATTTATTTGTACCTAAATTCTACTTAAGATATTTGGACAAACCAAATTTAACATGCTTTTTTTATACTCTAATTTATCCAATTATTATAAATTTTGATTTGACACATTTACATATATAAAATAGTAAAATGGTAAAACTAAATTTTGAAATTCATATTATTAATAAAAACGATATTATTGACCAAAAATATTTAAAACAAAAAAATCAATAATAATTTCTATAATAAAAATCAAAATAACTACATATTTTATATTTATAAAAACTAAAATATAAAAAAAAAATTATATAAATGATTTATCCGCCTGGATGCATTTCTTTCGGTGATGGTTGAATAATTAAGAAGCCTTACCACTTAGCAGCAGGTTCGATAAGCACTCAATTATACCGACCTTCTTTAAAATTACGATCTATTGGTTTGGCATTTAGTAATTATTATGATGTTTTACTTTTAAACGAAAAAGTAAAGGGGATTAGATTATTAGATAAATACTAGCGACTCCGTTGGTTTGTGAAACTGAAAACAAACGAAGAGACGGTTTTGAAGGATGGGTCCCTTTCGAGGCTTCAAGAAGTATGAATAGATTTTTGGTACGCTAATATAATATAAATGATTTTTGTCTGAACTATGAATAATTTTGTATTTAAGTAACGTGCCCATGATAAAATGAAAACAAACGATGCAATTTACAAGTCAGCTACAAGATTAGGAAAACTATATAAAATCAATTTTTGGGGGGTGGCATGTAATTATTCCAACCTGAGAACTAAGAATATATATCTGTCAGAACAATAGCAGTATATTGTAATTTTGTACCCCCGTAAAACTAATTTACCAAAAAAAAAATTACCACGATTAATAAGAGAATCGCAATAATGATGATTGCATTGCATTTATGGTTAGTCTTGGAAATCAAGGTTAACGACGAGCATAAAATTATTATAACTTGTCGATGTTAAAAAGAATCTATTTTAACTTGTTTTCCAAGGATAACTATCAATGTATGAATCTCTTATTAATTACCACCAGTATCAAAAAAAGTTTTTAGAATTTTTTTTCACATATCAAGCAAATTAGTAAATTCTCGATTGTACCCTATAATATACAGTAAAATTTTATCTTTTAAAATTATATCTAAATCATATGGACAAAATAAAACCCTTTTTGAAAATTTTGCATTAACAAATACAAAAGAACATTTTGTAATATTAAAAAGTGGCTACAAAGCTTTGTATAACC